CTTTCGCTAGTATCTCTCTTAAACATTTATCAATCCACAATTCTTCCATTCGTCAGAGGTACGGTGGAGTAATGGATAGCGGCTTGGATTGAGGAATCTGAGAGCCTAGTTCGAATTCCAGTCGGTTCTTTTACATTCACTTACGTGCTAATAACCTTGGGAAAGTTATGAGTCCTCTTCTTCTCTTTCCATGCATTGATTATTGCTGCTATGTATGGCCTGCTGCTTCTGTTATGTATTCTTGATAAGATCCAAAAGCAGAATCTGCAATATTATCGGTCCTGACATGGCATCTCGGCTTCAGTCACTTAAGCTGCCACGTAACTTCCCTGTGCTTTTTCTATAAATATTTTCAAGGTGTTTGTTCTAATGAATTGTTCCCTATTTTTAAAATGTTATTATTTTTATTCCTCACCTCACGCAGACAAATTGTACATATGGGAACTAATTAGAACTACATAGAGACTCTGAGGTATTGCGGTGACTGTAGTAAGAATGGTAAGTAAGAATGTGTTGTTTTGATGTAAGGAATGCTGTGGTATGTTTGGGTCATTAATCGACGCTAGCTAACTTTTAAGATAAGACAGATTGAAGACAAGCCTTTTTAGCGTTGTGTCACATTTTCGTATTATTCAAAATAAGTATTACTTTCCCCTATGGTACTTAGACTTTACGAATTTAAGTGCAGTACTAGATTGAGAGACAGATCTAATCATTTATAGTTGAAGTAGATAGATGTAAACGTAAGTTCTATGCTAACAGTTTATTCCCTCGCACTTCCGTCTTTTCAAACAACTTTGATCTTCAAAAATTTAAATGCAATATCAATCGCTATTTTGTCTTTTTAATCTACTTTCTTCTATTGTTCTCTCTCCTTAATAATGTTTTTTTTTATATTCTTTCACACTTAGTAACCTCCTTGCGTCTTGGTGGCTTTATTGCCGTAAAATGATTTTTAAAAAGTGTTTATATTTTGATATTTTCTTAGCTTAGTATAGCAGAATCACTAACAAGAAAAGAACTCAGCAGTAAGTATCTTAATAACCATTACACGACGCCAAGACCACCGGCCAAGCCTGTTCTTGTTTGCTGAATATCATAAGAAAAATCCATTTGGATGTGTCTGTTATTTGATACAGTTTTTTTTTTATTTTGTAGCACCAGTCTACAAGGTTCGAAGAAGGCTTAAGATCGATAAGTTTTATTCACTCGAATCCACTTTTAATCATTGATCTGGATTCGTCTGATTAAGAATCACAATTATTAGATTGGATCTTATATAGTTTTATTTCTTACACATTTTAATTCCAAATCTGATTTCAAGGACACATCTAAATACAATTTGTCACTCCACAGTGTGTCCTTATTAAAACATTTTGAGCGCTGGTGGTCGGATTCTGTTTTCCAACAAGCATTTAATCATCAGTTAACGTTCGCATCTGAGAATTTCTTTTAAGACACAAATCACCATATTTAAAATGATTATGCCAACTTGGGGAAGAGGTCGGTTCAATCTTTTCCACTTTGCGAGAAGCTTCATCAGTATTTACACCCAATCATAAATTATATCTGATAATTGCAGAATCTCAATGCACCGGCCATTATACTATATGAAATAAAAATCAGAGTAAAATTGTGAAAATCAGTAAAATCAGACTCATAGATCGTTTTCAGATGTGTTTCTTTTCAAATTTTAATGATAAGGTTTTGTTATTATTAGCATTATTTACAATCGCACTGTTAGTCTCATCTTTGTAGTTATTATCACAATGTTTCCGTCAATGTTCTTCCGAGCCTTCATCAGATGCTTGTTGATCCGGGTAACTTTCAAGGAATTTTGAAGTGAACCCTGTATTTAATCGACGGGCCAGATTGTCTTCGTTCGGTTAGCAATAACAAAAGCAACCATGTCTCAGGATATCTCGCCTAGGCCTTATTTTGTACTTCTCTGTTATTGCTCGCCACGTCTCCACTGAGTCCAGGTCTGCACTGCAAGCTCCAGGGATTGAACTTTAGATGTGCACATGAAATTAACTTTGCAGTGGAATTCTCTAAAGAATGAAAATACTTTTGAGACACTCTTGTTATATACCGTACCTAGTTAGTTAATGTAGGTGGTTTCTGGGCGAACAACTTGTCTTGCTTCATGTTTATGTATCAAGAACAGTAGATCATTCCCGAGTTCTTCTGTTGACTAGAAGTGCACTAGAAATCGCGTTCTGCAGTCTCGTAAGATTGTAGAAATATCAAGTATAGTCTCAAAGAGCTGTGATTTAGTTGAATGCATAATACTCGATCAAAACGGTAAAACATTCTTCATTTTAACCATAGTAATTAAATATTGATTTTTTTTAGTTACCGATGTACACATTAACCGCATTAATCGTGGGATTCCCGGAGATGTGCAAATAAATTAAATATTTAAAATTCTTCTGTATTGATTCTTCTGTATTACAATTTTTATTTATTTATTTTAATATTTTTAATCGTTTTTTATTGATATTTTATTTACGCTGACCAAAAAGGCGTGGTTTTAACGACCTCAGAAGCGAATGTTGGTGGTAAGGCAGCTTCCCATCAATATTTTCTGGCTTTCAGCGATTTCAACATTAAACAATCCTCTTAAACAAGCCAACTGACTTGTTGGCAAACTTTCATTATTGTAAATAAGAAACAATCAAATTAACGAATGTCATTTTTAAACGATATATCATTTAAGAAAAGCATTCAGATATAAAAGTTACTTCCCTTTAATTTTTCTAGATTTGCCTTTTTCAGTGAAGAGAACAATTCGACGAATGGATTAATGGTTTAAGTGAAGTCAATTTTCGAACAAATTTATCATTATGAACCGGATTCCTTTAAAATGATATATCCCATAATTTCTGTGATAAGGAGTTACCGTTATTTATGCTCGGACTGTTGTCCTCATCTTTACTGTTGGTGATAACAACAACAAAGATGAGGACAATAGTTCGAATGCAAACAATGTAAAATAATGATTCCTCCCTTAAAGGGCGCAGCATTCTAAAAAGTGGCAATGATATTAAATAGTACAGGAAACTAAAACCTGTTTCCCTTTGTAAGAAAACCGCATGGGAAAGAAGTAATAATAACGAATCCATTTCTAATACGGAGAAAGCACAACTTTTTCTCCACTGATGGAATCATCAGCCACGTGTCTATGATCAAAGCGAGCCTTCTTGGAGAATATCGACTGTCATTTGACCTGAAGATGAGGTGGTTTCCGTCTGTCCAAGACATGCTACACATGAATGAATATCTCTCTGGCTACATATGTGGCGGAAACTGCTCAGGTGCTCAACTACTCAGCAACCCTACAACCACATCCAGTAATGGAACTGATGATGATGATGAAAAACTAATTTTCAAATGAATCCTTGTTTTAAATTGTTGTTACTGGGTCAGGGTTGGTGTGCTGATGCTGATTTGGTTGAGAAAATAAACAAAAGTGTAAAACAAAATGAAATAGAAATTAATATTCTATCATTTTTCGTGTAGAGAAAATTTCAAGTAATGTTCTTAAGAGTCTCTGTAAAGATTCATTGTTGACAACAAAAAAAAGTTGAACTTATTCTGCTAGTGAATTAGTCAATGATATGTATAATCTAAGTCATGTGCGTCTATTGACCAAAACGCTAATTTTAACGTCCTATCCCGATTTTGGCCCGCAGTGAAAGTAAACTAGTTTCTTCTTCGGATTCACAATACTCATATTTCCAGTTTTTTTCTTTCTTTTCAAGCATTCCCAAAAGCTAAAAAGGGATTATCGACACATGCGTGTCTAGCGAAAAGGTTTAACGTCTGCTACAAAATTGATTAGCGAAGGAAAGCATTGTGTTTGTAAATTTTGACAAATCGATTAGATGAAAACAATAAGGTGAACAGGCATGTTTTGATTAATATGTACAGGTAAGTGAAACTTGAATTAAGACACGAACTTAGACACAAATATGGAAATTGTGTGGTTATTGGACGCTGAAAGCAACTATAGTAAGGGATGTGCATTCGAATCTTGTTAGAAGCTATTTATTTATTCTAAATTCCTGCATTTGACTTGAAACCTTGAGAATAGTTCACGGAAAAGGTATGATCCCATCACTTCTCTCCCTAGCTATGGGTTAAATAACATAGTAGATTGAACTTAAGAGGCCCTGGGTGGTAGGTAGTATGAGAAAAAGACTACTCCAAATTCAAATCATGGAGAAAGCAACGAGAAAATATCCTATTATCTTTCTCAAGAATACATTATAATTCACAGAAATTAAAGACTGCAGAGAGCCTTCGTTTTATTTTCAAAGACAGGTTCTGGTTTGTTTACATAGTCAAACGGAAGATGTTTGTGCAGTTTCCAGTGTAAGACTGTTCCTACACTATCATTCTATTTTGTTTAATCATTTCACCCCCAAGCCTTGCGATAATGCCATCTTCAGCGCTTCTATTTTACAGCTGATTTACAATTCTTCCAATCTTTTTACTTATTCAAGTACGCTGAAAATGATGAGTAAAATCCTTTCAATTTCACAGTTTTATTAATATGACCTTTTGTTGTTGCTTTAGATAAACGAGAAAAAAGTTTACCATCGTTCTTCTAAAAATGGAAGCAGCAGGCGACCCAACCGGGTAGAGCTTATATCTATCATCGTTGTTTTTACCCGACAAGCCCCTTTCTTCACCTTGTTCTGTGAACACCTAACGGTAGCCCTGCAATTCTGTACGTGTCAGTCCAGCTGGAGCTTTGCAAGGATATTTGCTATGAATCTCGTTCTTGAAATACGGCAGATGAAGATACAATCCAAATAGTTATATTTGTAGCGACGTTAGTCCAGGTTATTTTCTGAATTGGCACAAAGAATTTTTTAAGTGTTAATTAATAAGGTAAATGGGAATGTGTTGAAGTACGATATAAAAGTTGTGGCGACATTTGACCAAAAAGGAATGATTCGTTACGATTTGATTTTTTACAAGATAAATTTGACAACGACAAAAGATAAGATGGTAGATAGATCTGAGATAGATAGATAGATAGATAGATTTAGATAGATAGATTTTTACAGATAGATGAATAGACTGAGATTTTATGAATAGACTTGGATAGATATGAATAGACTGAGATAGATAGATAGATAGATAGATAGACGAGATAGATGAAGATAGATAGATATGAATAGACTTAGAGAAATCAATATGAATAGATGAGATAGATAGATAGATAGATAGATAGATAGATAGATAGATAGATAGATAGATAGATATGAATAGAACTAGATAAATAGATATGAATAGACTTGGATAGATATGAATAGACTGAGATAGATAGATAGATAGATAGATAGATAGATAGATAGATAGATAGATATGAATAGACTTAGGTAGACAGATAGATATGAATAGACTGAGATAGATAAATAGGTATGAATAGACTTGGATAGATATGAATAGACTGAGATAGATAGATAGATAGATAGATAGATAGATAGATAGATAGATAGATATGAATAGACTGAGATAGATAAATAGATATGAATAGACTTGGATAGATATGAATAGATAGATAGATAGATAGATAGATAGATAGATAGATAGATAGATATGAATAGACTTAGAGAAATAGATATGAATAGACTGAGATAGATAGATAGATAGATAGATAGATAGATAGATAGATAGATAGATATGAATAGAATAGATAAATAGATATGAATAGACTTGGATAGATATGAATAGACTGAGATAGATAGATAGATAGATAGATAGATAGATAGATAGATAGATAGATAGATATGAATAGAACTAGATAAATAGATATGAATAGACTTGGATAGATATGAATAGACTGAGATAGATAGATAGATAGATAGATAGATAGATAGACATGTATAGACTTAGGTAGATAGATAGATATGAATAGACTGAGATAGATAAATAGATATGAAGAGACTTGGGTAGATATGAATAGACTGAGATAGATAGATAGATAGATAGATAGATATGAATAGACTTAGAGAAATAGATATGAATAGACTGAGATAGATAGATAGATAGATAGATAGATAGATAAATAGATAGATAGATATGAATAGACTTAGAGAAATAGATATGAATAGACTTAGATAGATAGATAGATAGATAGATAGATAGATAGATAGATAGATAGATATGAATAGACTGAGATGAATATACTTTTAATCTGTATCACCGCAAGCAAGGCAGTACAGGCATTAGTACACAAGTGGTTATAGGATGTGGAGGAATTAGGAACAGAAACATTATTATTGAGGAGAAAGAGAAAAGAGCAATCAGAAGGACAGTAAATAGTGACTGACATTGCATTTAAACTCTTGCAGATTAAAGTTGGCGGCAAAGCATGAGACCGGAAGTTTGTTCCACAAGCGAAAAGATACTGTCTATGTAGAAGTTACGGCCACATGTAACTGGCTCAACTGTAAATTGATGAGATCTCGCCGCCAGTCTGGTATTGCGCTTAAATTCATACAGTCTAGCTACCATAGCGAAGAGCTTATCCGAACATTTACTGTGAAAGTATTTATATAAAAAAAAAAAAAAAGGCACAGATGCTACTTTACAGCGGTGAGGCCCCGGACCATATACGGCAGTATGGACGAATGGTGGAGTTATAGATATGCAAGATAGATTCGGGAAAGAAAACTTGCTCGCGCGACACAGTGAATTGATTTTTCTTAGCAGCTGACCACGCAATGAATAAAATATAGTCTTTCCACTACTTGTCAGCTGAGAACGTTAGCCGGGCAGGCACGAGTGACTTTCCTGGAGTATAGCATCAGACATGCTGATGGAAGGTAAAAAGAGGTCTCTTGGCTGATTAATGGAAAGAAGTTGAGTTTTAGAGATGTTAAAATTGACAAGCCATCTTTTGCCTCAATTAACGACGGTCTTGTGTTTGTTTTGTACATCAGCTGCCATTTTGACCTTGTCTGACTGATCAGCTTTACTGTCGAGGCAGGAGTAAATGGTAGTGTTGTCAGCATAGATGGCAAGTTGAGAGCTGACGTCGTTAATGAAGATTTAAAACAGCGTAGGAGCAACGATGGGGCCTTGGAGGACACCCGCGTTAGTACGAATGGATGTAGACGAGTGGCCATTCACGACAACTTTCATTTCACGAATTGATAGGAACGACTGGATCAGTTCAAAATTTTGTCCAGAGATACCATAACTTTTCAGTTTGTGGAGAAGACCTGAGTGCCAGACCTTATCAAAGACTTTCGAGATATCCAATGCTACATCCAGAGCTTCACTGTTTTATCTAGAGCATGATAGAATCTTTCCGCGATTATCGTAAGCACATCAGCCGTTGACATAGAAAAACGAAAGTGGTATTGCTTGTCTGAAAGCCCTACGATGAGAGATGATGAACCAATTCAGAATTGATTAGGGTCTCTAAGAGTTTCTCCAAAGGAGGTAGAAGGATAATAGGCTAATAGTTGGATGGGTTGGATATTTCACCAGAGTTCTTAAAAACTCGAACAATAGACGATGACTTCCAGCAAGCAGGAAAGCAGGAGGTAGGTATTTATTATAGAGTTTAGAGGGAATAGGATCTAGTTCGGGAGCACACTTTCTAATGACTATTACAGGGTCACATCAGGTCTACATGCTTTGTGAGGATCTAGGTTAGAGATGATAGCAAAAATCATGGAAGAGGTTGCATGCATATAACTCAGCAGAGAACCAGTTCTAAGTGGGAAGTTAGACAAGGATGCTCCAGATGAGTCAAGAGTAGAGTTTGAAGAAAATTTACGGACAAAGCAGTCAGCATTATCAGCGGTGGATGATAACATCTCAAACTGATGGAAGAGTTGGGGAATAGAGACCTTGCACTTATTTAGTACGCTATTACAGATACGTCAGTAATCACGAGAGCCAAAGTTTTTAGAGGCTATGTTAGGACGAGAGCTGTCATGCTGGTATAACCAGAAATAGTGTTTCCTGGGTGCTATAGTGGCCGAGCATGCTGATGCCAACCATGGAGAGGATTACAGTTTCACCTGGTATTTCTGAAAAGGAATGAAAGCAACCATGCCGGTTTTGACCCCCAAAAACCTAAGTTGCGCAATTTTTCAATTGGTAGGTTGAAGATGTCAGTCCAAGGAGCGTCACGAAGAAAATCCCGGAATGAGTCCCACTCAGCATGCTGGTAACGGAAAGAGGTCTTATAGATAGGGAGTTTCTGTTTAATGGATGCTTGGAATGAGATATCAATAGCTACCACAAAGTGCTCTAGGTTACTTAGAGGGCAGTATTTCGAAGCTTGGCAAGAGTCAAGATAAGAAACAGATTCAATCGAGAAGCCTGTTTCTCGGTTTGGCTAGGTAAACGAATAAGGAAGTCAAGAGTGAGGGATTGGAGAAAGGAAAAAAAATTAATGTCTGTTTACCGACAACATCAGTACCTGTAGCATGTTTCAGCCCCATATCCTGGTGAAAATTAAAGTCACTGAAGACAAAGATGTTCGCAGTTAGCTGAAGAGAATGTATAGCCAGCTATTGAGTCTAATATACTCCAGTCTTGGGAAGAATGGGAACAATAAATGAAAAAGAGATAACTGACAGATGTTAATAGCGAAAAACGAAAGAGTAGTCATCGTCGTCGAGAGACAATTCTCTGAACATCGGCAGATTATCCCGGATGTAAACACCAATCTTTTTGGCAAAGCGAAAGATAACCTGGACCCAAAATTCATTGGTCGCAATAGAAGAATTCAAGTTGGTTTCACAAAGAGCAAAGATATCTGGTGACCGTTCTAGGAGGAAAGAATTTATGATGCACAAGTTGAAATGGATACAGCAAATATTGGAGAAAGAAAGATTGAGTGGGGTTAGGTGGTTGTTTGTTAGCTGGTTTAGTTTTATTTCTTTTTGTTGTGATTTCCATAAGATATTTTTTGAGGAGAGAAGAAAAATATTACCATAATTGCCATTATCTGTCGTCAATGGCAATACATTCCTGGAGCCGAGCCACAAGCTTAAACATGCTTCGTTTACTAGCAGCGGCTGGAGCCTTTCTTCTTTTGACTAGTGTGACATTGCCATACAAAGAAAATCGGACGAGTGATTAATGTATACAATACATGTTGCCAGTTATGTGAGAGACGTATGGTGAATGTGTTGTTGTATGAGAATGACTTTTTTCTTAGAAATTTCTTTCCAATATTAGATTCCGTCTTCCAAGGCGGAAAATACGGTAATAGATTATTGTTGCTCTAGTCATCTATTCTGAACAAAAATTCGGAGATAGATAGATAGATAGATAGATAGATAGATAGATAGATAGATGTGATTAGACCGATATACAAGGTGGGAATAAAGTCACAAAACAGTAACTTACAATAACAATTAAAACAAAGCAATTAATCAACATTCTATAAATTTATTCTTAAAATGGTTGTGGTTAATTCTGGTTAATGGTAGACAATAGTAAATTAATTAACAATACTATTCTAACTGCAAGCCACCTGCTTCAGTGCTTTGCTTTTTTATTATAAGTAACTGTATAGTGACTTTATTGCCACCCAGTATATATAGGTAAAATGAACAGAAATAAAGATTGACATGTATATTTTTCGAACTACGTTATATGCATACACTTATTTATCTATCTAAATAGATTTGGACAAGAATACACATACACACACACACACACACACACACACACATATATATATATATATATATATATATATATACACGAGGTGTGATCAAAAAGTATCGGAGATGTTGCTATGGTAACGGAGCTAAAGTACGCAAAGTTAAACCGCTTAACATTTAGCACAGATTGACCTTGAATTCTGAGCGCATCCAAACTAAGTTATAACGTTATCGTTCACTTCCGTTGTTTATAGCGTTGTTAGGAAGGAAAGTGTGTAGAGTGTGGTCGTCTAACCACACCAGAGATTCCATCTGTGACCATGAGTTGTGCAGCAGTTTTGGACCAAGGAAAACATTCCTCACGCCCGAACACAGCTATATTCCCCAGATCTTGCCCCTAGCGCCATTTTCTTCTTCAAAAATCAAATCCTACTTGAAAAGAACAAGATTACAAGATGTTGAGGCCATAATAATAAAAAAATATATAATAATAATAGTAATATATTGTCCTACTTTGTATTGAGCACTTTAATGCCTCAAAAGCAAAACTGTACTCTATTACTCATCAGAGAGAACCATCCCTGCCTCCCGTTAGAATGTCTGACGCTCAACTCCACGAGTGCACCTCTTTGCAACTGCTCGGTCTCACATTGACTGCTGACCTGAGATGGAACGAATACGTTGAGTCAATAGCTTCGTCCACCGCAAAGAAAGTTGGCTCCTTATGCCGCGCCAGGAAATTTTTCTCGTCGGAGTCGATCCTTCAAATCTGCAAATCAACCATTCGCCCTTGCACGGAGTATTGCTGCCATATATGGTCTGGAGCACCTTCTAATTGTCTCAAGGTCCTTGATAAAATCCAAAGACGGATATGCAATGTAATTGGCCCTGATATGGCATCCCGTCTGCAATCGCTCTCTCACAGACGTGCGGTTGCCTCCCTCTGTCTTTTTTACTAATACTTTCACTGTAACTGCTCCGATGAGCTGTTTTCGCTGGTTCCCAAACTTCATGAATTTAAGCGCTCAACGAGGCTGACATCTCGCTCTCACCCTTTCACTGTCGAAACTGTTAAATATAACCGTCTCTTCTACTCCAATAGCTTCATGTCTCGCACTTCTCGCTTGTGGAACTCTCTCCCCTTTTCCTGTTTCCCTGATAGCTATAATCTCCAACTATTCAAATGTAATGTCAGTCGACGTCACCAGATGCCCTGATCTATTCTCTAACCGTCTATTCATCCTTTCCTCTATGGGGTAGAATGCTTAAAAAAATAAAAATTGCTACAGCAGAATTTTACTCCATCAGTTTCTTTCTCTCATTTATATATATATATATATATATATATATATATATATATATATATATATAACAGTGTACAGGTGCTAACATGACAAATATCTTAAATCTCCCACCCCGATTTCATTCAATATATCTGCTAATTTTTAATTCTTTCTGTTTTCTTTAGAATATTTCACTTGACTTTTTGTTTTCTTTAACATTCCGGTTTTTCCTTTCTTAACTCCAATATGTTGTCCCCTGGGGGGTGGAAACCCTTAAAATCTACTAGTCATATCCGCAGAGTAAAAGTCGATATAGTAGGGACCATGAAACAACGTACGCGAATAGCTTGCATCTGATTTCACATGGATGCATCCAATCAGCACGATTTATATATCCGACAGAAATAGCTTAAGACAACGTGAATAGAACGTCTGCCTTTGTATTTCACGGTTTTATCTCACAGATAAATAAATGTCGGATGGGCAAAAGATCATAAAAGTCAGAAACAAGCATCAAAAATGTCGGGGTGGGGGTACGAGTTTATCAGCTCTTGGCAATTAAATTACTTTTTACTCAGTTTAATTTTGTACACCTGTCTTTTATGCCGCGCTTTAAACCTGGGTACATGTGACAAGCTCTCCTACTCATCTCTGGTGGTGTTGGGGAGAGGAGGGAAATAAAAATCGAGATTTACTGGGATTAATTTAGTTAGGTATAAGTAAATGAAAAATTGAGTGTTGTGTCGAGCTTCCAAAATAGCTGCTTTAAAAAAACACATAAAATTCTAGTTTCTGGCCAAGATTCAACAATTCAGGAAACAAGCAACTACCTCAGCCACAAGACACACCTGCGACTCTATTTCCCTTTGCATATATACAGTGTGTGCCAGGTAGTTGAGAACAGTCGTTTAGTGGGGCATAAATCTAAAACGCCTTAACGTAATGTTACACGGCATGCGCCAAATCTTTACATATTCATTTCTCCGTCAGACCTATCGCGAGGGTTAACATGGCAGGTTACAATCGAAATGAAAAGCTACCAATCATAACAATTCAGAGGGGAACTTCGACGTGGTGCAATGGTTATCAAGCTTGTCTCGTTAGATTAGTTACAACTGAATAGTGAGTTCGATCCTCACTGGGTGTCCTATACTTTCGGTCTTGTGCCACATCTAAACAACACTTAGAAAATCACCATGACAATTCAGTGACTACCATCTTCTTGAATGTGAACGTCTGAACAGAAGAAATGACATGTGCTGCTGCGTGGACCCCATGAGCGTACCCACGGTGATATATACCAAGCTCATGTCGTCTGGGGAGTTTTGAACAACGAGAATCATGTGATACCGTATCAGTTCATCCAGCAGAGCCTTTGGATCAATGCTAATGTCTGCATCGATGTGCTAGACACGCTGGTCGATCCCCGGATCGAGTCTGTATAACCGTACGTGTTCTATAAGAATTCTAGTCACTCGCACGTGGTCTACGTAAAACAACAATGTGTGACAGAGAAATTTCATGATCCCGTTACCCTTAACATGTGCTCTTCAAACTCTCCTGATTTGAATATCCTGAAGTATTATCGAGAGGGAAGACCAATCAGTAGCTCCACAAATATGAAGGAAACGTTGAAGGCTACCGTCGTGAAAGTGATGGCCGGCACGAACGAGAACAACCTGATGCAGGCATGCTGTGTTCTACACTCTGCATCGAGCTTGTCCTCATGCCCGAAAGCGATTTGATTTTATAAACTTTGTCTCGTTCGAAGTTGAACATGTGAACAATTTCATTTGAAAATTTTTTTTTTTAAATCTTTGTTATTCTACATATTACAATTTGTCCTTAAGTATCTGGGGCTGGGGTACTAAAACACACACACACACACACACACACACACACATATATATATATATATATATATATATATATATATATATATATATATATATATATATATACTGTCGTATACATTTCAGGTGGGCAAATGTAGGTAACAGACATCAAATCGCAGAAATGTCAATGAGAAATGGTTGCTCCTTAAATCGATAATATAAATCTTGCTTTAGAAATATGATCTCCCAAATTGGAAACGGTACACTTCGACTATAGGAGTGATTCCTCTGACGGAAAATGAGGGGATAAAGCTTGTCGTCACGCCCGGAAGTGTTTCGATTTCATAAATTCTATGTCTCGTTCGAAGTTGAACATGTGAACAATTTCTTTTGAAAATAGTTTTTTTAAATCTTTGTTATTCTGCATATTACAATTTGTCCTTAAGTACCCGGGGTGCTAAATATATTTATATGTATGTATACTGTCGCATACATTTCGGGTGGGAAAATCTAGGTAGAAGACATAAACTCGTAGAAATATCAATGAGAAGTGGTTGCTCCTTAATTCGATAATATGAACCTTGCTTTAGAAATATGCTCTCCCGTGGCCAAATTAGAAACGATACACTTTGATTATAGGAGCGATTCCTCTGACGGGAAAATTGGGATAGAGATTCGATTCCTGTTTTGAGGAACAATTTTCTTTTCGCAGGACTTTTCAAACTAGGCCTGTAATTATTAATTTCACTTTTTAATAAAGGAAAGAGAAAACTCGAATAGCAACTCAAGTATGTGTAGCCATTAAAATAACATTTATAGTAATAGCTAACCTCGGATTAAAATAAGTTTAAATTCCAACCAAAAGATCTGGTTTCAGTTTTCTATATCTAAGTACTTTCGGATACAAAAGTTTGTTTTTTTTTTTTTGCTATGACCTAATAAACCTTTCAATGGTTTTTTCCTGAAATTTGAAGTATTAGTTTTTTCGCAACTTCTTGGTCAGATAGATTTAAAAATTGGCTGAAATTTGAAAGTCAAATTGTGACAAAAAACAAAAAGTCCCTGTTAATGACGTATACTAAACGAAAGTTCTCAGATAAAAGAAAATATATTTTCAAATATGAAACCAAGAAAATTATCTGGAACATCGAGAAAATAAAATAATTAACAAGAAACTTTTGTTGCTATTGAAACCAAATCGTATCAGTGAAAAATGTATGTCCAAATACATAGTCAACATAGTATATTTGAGACGTTTTGTAATGTATGACTGTTCCGGAAATTAGTATACATTATTCACTTATGCGATAATGTTTATATATATATAGGTACAAAATTTAATGATCGAAATTAAAGTATAAAACTTAATATTACGAGACATATTAAAAACGGGCGAAGCAAACCGGTTTCGCTCCCGCTCTTCAGGCTTCAACGGGAGATTTAAAATTAACACAGATAAATGTACAATAAAAGAAAGTTGTAAAAAAAATAGCAAAAAGGAACTAGAGACAAATGACAGCGAGCCCCAACAAACACTCACGTTGTTTACACAAAGAAGGCTTATGGGACCCGATGTTAAGTGCCTTTTATTTAACAGTTTTGAGATTTTTATACCTTGCAATGAATGGTAGTAAATGAAATGTTCAGATTGTGTAAGATTTTCCTGTAACTTTTACCTTCTTTCCAGAGTTTAACAATCAATTCTTTTTGCGAATTTGTTAATTCTTGACCTCTTGCCATGATGATAACGTTCTTGCACGAATATCAATTACAGAATGCTCTGTTTGTACCTTTTATGCTAATAATAACTACTGGTAACATCATTGGAACATTCTAAAATATTCCACTTGAATAATCTAGAGTATTAAAGCAATTTAAATGTTTTAAAATCTAAAATTTGCATTGTACGAATATTTTTTCACCCATTAAAATAGATAAATGGGATTTATTTCTATTAAATCAATTTTTTCTATTTTCTATGCATATTTAGTTATTATGCATCTGTGTACAGTTAATTATATGAAAAGTATGTTTATTCATTAGTTGGAAATACAATAAATTTGTATGTGCACGAATATTTTTTTTATATTTTATATATATATATATATTTATATATATATATATATATATATATATATATATATATATATGTATGATAGTATCAAGAACAAATAGAAAAACTTTATCAATCTAACATGTTTCATTTTTTTTAATGTTTCGCCAGAGAATAAGATATGGAGAAAAAATATAGTAGTTTTCTCATATTCTCTAACACTCAGTAACTGCTTGTGTCTTAGTGGCTCTATTGCCTTTCTTGAGGTGAAATAATTAAAAATATATATCATCCACAATTTTCGGAATAACTCAATCGAGAACTGCGTACTTGAAAAATTTAAGAAAATATATATATATATATATATATATATATATATATATATATATATATATATATATATATATATATACTGTACCATGTGTCTTCACATGGTACAGTGGATAATGAATGTTAATATGAATGTTAATACCATTAATGATGGCCTGAATGATCTTTTTCCTCTCGCTATAGCTCAGTTAGGAAGCTATAGTGGGGCTGACACAAAATGATTTTAACCTGCTCTATTTTTAGCTGAATAACTCAAAGGGTTTTTCAGTGATTCTTTCGAAAAATGGTGTCAAGATGGCTAAACATCTGAAAACCTGGCAAAAGGAAACTCAATTAGTTTAGTAGTTATTTAGATATTAAACATTTTGTGGAATGGACATGCTGTTACATGATTTAGACAATTTTGCTGTTACATATGTTATATATGCTGGATCTTATTAAAGACGTGATAAGCATACGCGTAATCCTGGTTGTCGGTATAATACTGAAACTCCACTTCTTCGATACTTGTATAGAAAATAAAAACGAAAGATTACTTAACTCTGGGTCAAAACAGCTTGTATGCAAAATATAAACAATTTTAATTCTAATTAATAAACAATTGTAATTCTAATTAATAAACAATTTTAATTCTAATTAATAAACAATTGTAATTCTAATTAAGTGCAGGTTATCGTTAATTTTTTAATACAGTGCTCAGTAACCTGTGGATAGAGCCGCATATTGCGTAAACGTTAAAGTTTACGGATTGTGACAAACATGAGCGTAACTAAAAACCAATCGTCAGAGGCTTGAAATGCTAAACGTTTGACCATCGATTCTACCCACAAAAATATAACATTTACACATTAAACGACTTTGTTTATAGGATATTTTGAGCTAGATTTATAAAATCAACGATAAACTACATTTAATTTGAATTACATTTCAGTTAAATAATTAATCATTTATATTATATATAAATAAATATGTGTAATTAGTGACGCATTTATATAGCTTCAGATCTACATCGAAAAACTGAATAGGTTTCGAGGCAATACAGATGTCCATGCAGACACGTGCCTCTAGAATCAGTTGTTTGTGTTTGCGTGTAAAGCAAAGATGTAAGGTCTTCCTAAAATACATGGGTCAGGAAATGTGTCTCGGTAAAAAAGACGCCAAGCAGATTGGGCCAAAGAACCGGGAATAGAAAAAAATGTGATAGTAAGTTTCGAAGAGTTCACCTTCAGGCGAAGATGACCTCCAGCTTGTTAATATCTTGAAGGAGGGTAAAGGGTTTGGAGGGGAGATGAAGGAAAGAATCTTAAAAGGAAGAAAAAAGACAAAAAAAAAGACAAAGAACTGGAAAAAGAAACATAAAAAAGAAAGAAATGGTAGGAAAAAAACACGTAAAAATAAAGAAAAAGTAAAAACAAACCGGGAAAGAAAGAAAGAAAGAAAAAAAGAATAATGAATAAGTAACGCAAGAAATTGTGTTAAAGAAAGAAAGAAAGAAAGAAAGAAAGAAAGAAAGAAAGAAAGAAAGAAAGAAAGAAAGAAAGAAAGATGGAAAGATAGAAAGAGAGAAAGATGGATAAGTAACGCAAGATTTTTGAGTCAATAATAGAAAGGAAGAAAAATGAAAGGAAGAAAGATGCAACGCAAGAATATTGAGTCGAAGAATGACAGAAAGAAAGAAAAAAAAACGAGAAATTGAAAGAAAGAAAGAAAGAAAGAAAGAAAGAAGGAAAGTATGAATGAAAGAAAGAATAATGAATAAGTAACGCAAGAAATTGAGTTAAAGAAAGAAAGAAAGAAAGAAAGAAAGAAAGAAAGAAAGAAAGAAAGAAAGAAAGATGAAAAGAGAGAAAGATGAATAAGTAACGCAAGATTTTGGGGTCAAAGAAAGAAAGAAAGAAAGAAAGAAAGAAAGAAAGAAAGAAAGAAAGAAAGAAAGAAAGATGAATAAGTAACGCAAGAATATTGAGTCGAAAAAGAATGACAGACAGAAAGAAAGAAAAAAAACGAGAAATTGAAAGAAAGAAAGAAAGAAAGAAAGAAAGAAAGAAAGAAAGAAGGAAAGATGGAAAGCTAGAAAGAGAGAAAGAGAGAAAGAAAGATGAATAAGTAACGCAAGATTTTTGGGTCAAAGAAAGAAAGAAAGAAAGAAAATTCTTTCGAGGGAGAGATAAATAAAGCGAGTGAAAAGGAGAGAGAGACAAAAACAATAAAAAGAAAGAAAAAATAAAAAATTAGATGGGCAGTTTAAAGAGAGAGAAGGAAGAAACGAAATCTCGGTTTTGGCACTGAAGCTGCTTATGTTAATCTCTTCTTATAATGCTGCATAAGTGTCGTTAGTAATGGGGATCGAATTCATTACAGTTTTAGCTATTGATTGCTTAATGGAAAATGATACTTTCATTGGATACATACATATAGCATGTACGTATCGTAATTACACACGATTGAAGTCTGTTGGCCATTATAAAGTAAATTTTCAGCAAAAGCCTTATCACGATAAGAAAATATTTTTAAATATTTTTAAAAGCAATTTACGTCATACCTTTATTATGAGATATGCAAAAATATTCTATATTTTTTTTTTTTTTTTTTGTATCAGAAAAAAATTAAAATTAAAACGTATATATTTTGAAATTTATATTTAGCTCAGGTACATCTGGCTAACTCTTCGGTAAAGGTAGAATTTCTGCTCTCTTTATGGTTACGTAATCAAATGTGGCTTTTGTATGAGACACGTTGTAAACCGAGTTTGAAAAATATCGTAGAATTATGTCTATGATTGCAACAATAACCATCTGCTGAATTATATACGGAATTTTTTTTGCGTTAAATTAAGGAAATGTTTTCAATTTAATTAGCAATTATTATATTGGGTTGAGACAAAAGGCTGTAGCGTTTTGTAAGTGAATTTCAAAGACAATATTTTAATAGTCATGTACATATTTATTCACCCACATGTGTGCCATTTTGTTCCACCGTGTTGATATTTATTGTGCTAAATACTTACGGCACGTGGCCAGAGGAGGAGGGGTTGAGGCTGGTCTTTACTATCTTATACCTAGCTAATCCGATTCACGATCCATTCACTCATTAAAATTTGCTCATTCACCACAAAAACTCGTCCGTCACCAGTCGATTCCCCATATACCATAATACCGCATCTTCTCAAGGGGGAAAACGCGCCCCATGTCATAAAAATTTAGTGATAATAAAATATATATAAAAATCTATGATGAATAATGAGAGGGGAGGGAATGAACCCCAAAACAAACTAAATACAAACACAAAGTAACCTAAACAAAACTGATGCTAGTAGGGCCCGTCCAACCCTCAAAACAGAGAGGCCGCTGTATTCTGGCTATGGGACAAAATCAAGAAGCTCTCTCACTAAGGGCGTGGGAAAGGTGAAAATATAGACAGACATTGAGAATAAAACGATGACCCAGTCGAGATGAAAAGGGGGCCGAAACAAACTGGGGAGGTTGGGAATCCCAACTTGGATCATAACCAAAGGGGCAGCCGGGAACAGGCCAGGAACAACACCTAACTAGATACACAAAAGCTTGTCTAACCTAACTAAAGGGAGGGCTCCGCAGGAAACCACCCCGATGTGACGTAGGTTGACCTAGAAGAGAAAATCAAGGCTAGCCCCGTTCAAACGAACCAAGCTCGCCTCTTTCACCCACCTTTCGCTGAAGACTGTCGAATGCAAGCGTTTTCTATCAGTTCTAATCTTCATCTTGAGCTGATGCTCAAAGAATCGGAACAGAGCCTGATGAGAAAGACGGTTGCCTCGCAAGACTTCCACCTGTTGTGTCGTCCAAATCACCATTCGAGCCGTGGCCAGCAGCGTAAGAAACACCATTCGTTTCACCCAAGAACAAGGGGGCGACACATTGTCACATGCGTAAGAGCGATCAATGAGCACGAGCTGTTCCACCATATTTCACCAAATTTGAGGCAACTTCAAAATTCCATGCTCCCAGAATTTGGCATCTTTCTGGATGATGAACTAGTCTAAATGGTTTTTATAGGCTTTAATTGACTGAACTAGAAACAGAATTGAGCGTCTGATTTTGTTTAAGGACTTCATCATAGACGATTCCCTTCAAATCCCACCAGATACAGATACCTTCTTCGGATTACATTCCCTGAAATTAAGCAACGTCAAATCTGGTGAATATGGCAATCAAGTTGAGGATAACAGTTCGAATAATGTAAATAATGCAAGTAATATTTACATATTTGTATAATGATGTATTCAACATGTGTCTCATTTTGTTCCAATAATTTTTTAATCATTTTCATGATTCCATCCTCCCAAAATCTGTCATCTTTCTGGATGATGAACTTGTCAAAATTGTTTTTATAGGCTTCAAGAGAATTGAAGTTCTTCCCATTAAGGCTATTATGAAGTGATCGAAATAAGTGGTAATCCGAAGATGCGAGGTCAGGTGAATAAGGTGGATGTAGTAGGGGAGGTTGGCAGAGATCTTGTCAAAGTGTACTGCTTGTTCTGCTGGGTCTGCAAGGGGACGTGAGCTCCGGTGTTGTCCTGACAGGAGACGACACCATTTCCAACTGGTCAATTCCGGACGCTTTTCATCAACTGTTGCTTTTAATCGGCCCAATTGGAAACAGTATTTGACTAAATTCAGTGTCTAATATTGCGTACGGTGCTCTTAGTACCTTTCTAACCACACCCGACAGACAACATCACCTTTCTCGGATGTAAACGAGGGGGTTAATGGTACTTCAGCACTTTATTGCTCCACATTCGTGTAAATAATGCATTTTTCTAGAATAGATAGATGTGAACAAAATGAGATAGAAAGATGTGAACATAGATATTAACAGACTGAGATAGATAGATAGATAGATAGATAGATAGATAGATAGATAGATAGAAAAGAATACATTGAGAAGATGATCACTTCATTGTGCCGCTCCATAAATATCTGAATCCCCCACAAGAGCCTGATCGGACCAAAAACGAAGTCTTGCTGCTATAATCTGGGGTTGGAACTGCCCAGTCCTCACTTGCGGGACTTGATAGAGTTCAAAAGCGTCTACGCGGCCTTACGGGTGATG